AAGCATAGGATTAGTCAATGTTCTTTATGCCTGGACCAAAGAGTAAAGAATAGGTATGCTCTTATTTGACACAATTTAATTTGAACTAATTAATTTTATCCATTCACTATAATTTCTTGACAATGAGAATGATGTTTTCTTATATATTGAATTTCACATTATAAACTTTATTAGTATAATTAGTTATTTAAGAGTTATTAAAATTAGATATTTATTTCAATTGCCTTTTAGTGACAGATAAGCAATTTGAATTATATTGTTGTGATTAAGTACTGATTTTCTATAATCTTAGTTCGTAGCCTCTAATATTACTCCCTGTGAGAACGATATCTAGGACTCTATTAGAGCCATATATTACTTGAGAGATACGTATACTTGCGTTGATAAGTGTGACTTTACCATTATTGAATATTATATATATACATCTTTATCGAATTTATAACCCTTGTCAAGTTTTTTGTGTCGTTGCTAAGAAATTAAATCTTCTAGCAGCAATATTAAATACTTGTATTTTTAAGCATACATAAAGTCGCCGGTTAGATATCACAAACACATAAAATGAATCCTTCAGACTAAGTGGTAATCTCCTATCACACACAACAGGATTGATGCATTCTTCCGTTTCAACCATCCAAATAAAAAAAAATGAAGGGGAAAATCAAAAATCAAGATGACAAGGTTACCTTAACTTCGAGTGGACGAGGATTCATTGAAGATGCGAGTAGGGGTGTAAACGAGCCGAACACGAGCGAGCCAAGTTCAGCGCGTGTTCGACTCGTTTATATTTCGAGCTCAAAAAGTGTGTTCGTGTTCAGCTCGTTTGCTTAACGAGCCGAACACGAGTTGTTCACGAACAAAGAGTCTTTTTAACAATCCTGATGATGTAGCCATAAGACAATAAGGGTTTGAGCAAGATTTAAAAATTATTATTTATATTACAACATCATTTGAATTTAATTTAATAATTTTTATTCTATTTTCTTAATCAATATTTTAATTGATTATAAATCTTTGTAGCCTTGTAGTCAATTAGATTTTTTAAAAATACTACTTTATATATATATATATATAAACTTGATGAGTAGTATTTCGAGCCAAAACGAGCCGAACATGAACGAACACATCTTAGTTCGTGTTCGGCTCGTTAACTTATCGAACGAAATTAACGAGTCGAACACGAGCTTCTTAATGAGCCGAACATGAGCTGTTTGCGAACAACGAGCCGTTTTGACAGCCCTAAATGCGAGTTTGCCGGAGAAACACTGCGAACGCTCGAAGGAGAACAATAATCACTGGAGCTACATTCAAAGAGGGAAGAGTGCACAAATGAGGCAGTGGGGTGCGGCATTAGATTTTTAATGCACCAGCATTGGATTTGCGTTGGACAACTCTAACACAAATAAAATTTCGTCAGGCTTACTGTCAGCTTGTTCGACACTATTAAGTAGAATCCTTATGTTAGCAACATGTCGTCACTAATGTCGACACTAATTTTAAAGTCTACATATATGCAACGCTAAACACAATACTAAAACCATGCGTCAAAATTATTCAATGTACAAACCATAAACATGCAAATTCAACACTAAGAATTAGCGTCAGAAATATTCTGATGAATACTCTGACGCTAATTAGCTCATTTCCTGAGTGAAAAGAATTCTTGAATTGAGGGTAGAGATTTCCTACCAAGGATTTGACCTCAAACTTTGTCTAAACTCCGATTAAGGCTAACTTAAAATATGTAGACCCAATCATTTTTCTCTCTCTTCTTGTGGTGAGAAAAATCATTTGAATTCTCTAAAATAGCATCTTAATATTGATCAAGCTCTTAACATAATATTACCAACTTTTTATAATACGGAGTAACTTCAAGATAATTTTTTCTAGATTTCAAAGTTAATTTTTCAATTAAAAATTTTGTGAAGAATTCTTTAAGTTTATATAAAGATCTCGACATCCTCTCAAATATCTTGAGCACTGAAAGAAATAGATGAGAATTTTCTATGGTAGGTTTCTTGGAGTTGATGAGCTATGCCATCACCAGAGAATTTTTGGATTACAATATTTTTTATATTTGAATCGCTAGCAATAGGTTTTGGAATTTCTCATATTAAATACCAATTTTGACTCTGTTGTTGATCAACAATTTTATGGATTGAGCTCACTTGGATAGTTGTGTCCATTAAGTTTTACAACTGTAAGGTAATATAGTAAATTCTTAGAAAAAATATTCAGCCTAAGTTGTAGTGAGGTGGCTTTGGAATTATTAGAATTGGTCAATGTAGATTTGTACGACATCCTCACAGTCTGAGAAGTCTACCTCAAAAAAACATAGATATGCCCTAGTTTGGATAGGGGCTTAACCTGCGCAATTTTGATGCTAAAGAAAAAAACAATTGAACGCCTCAGATCTCTGAATGTTGTGATCCGTTCGTTGCCTTTTAAATTGGCTCTAATCAAATGCTTCATATCTCTGAATACTGCAGTCCACTCATTTTCCTTCCCAACAAGTTCTAATCGCAATTGTATTGCAAGGGTCTCTGAATGTCGTGATCCAATCATTCCCTTCCCAACAAGCTGTAATCGCCATTCTTCCATGAGGGGTCTCCAAAAGCCAATACAGTTGTTGCTTGTATCATGTGAGGGGTCGGTCATGTAAATGATGGTATTGGGCGAATGCGAGAGGGGCAAGCGTCACGTATGAGAACCCGGAGACGATCTTGAGGGGTTTAGGTTGTCGTCTCGTAGGCTAGGATGGGCTTTGATACCATGTAGTTTTGATTGGGGAGAAATAATTATTTCTCTTTGATTTGATTGAAAACAATTACAAGTTAAATACAGGGAGATGTCTCCCACATCAGAAAAGCAGTAAAATCAGCCGTAAATCTCATGATAAAAGAAATAAATAGCAAAGACATACCAATAATGCTTCATTCTAAAAATAAAAATACTTAATAATAGAATATACTAAAATAAAACGTCCCAAAAAATTCAACATTTACTTATGAAAATCCACATAAACTATTCAAAGTACTGACTTGTAAGGAAAAGCAAGCAAACACAAGTCATTTTTCCTCCTGAGAATTACACCAGAAGCCTCACTTATGTCAAGCTCCTCCGATTTCCTCCCATCAGGCATCTCCCAATCAAAATGTAACAGAAGCTGAGCAAGCCAGAGCTCCACACCAGCCAGCCCGAATGGCATCCCTGGGCACATTCTACGCCCCGCACCAAAAGGAATGAACTCAAAGTTTGCACCTTTGAAGTCAATCTCACTCCTCTCAAATCTCTCAGGTTGAAAGCTCTCAGGGTCCTTCCAATATTTTGGATCTCTTCCAATGGCCCATGCGTTGATGATGACGTGTGTACCTTCAGATATCAAGTACTCTGAGACCTTAGTTGTCTCACGACAAACTCTAGGCACTAGAAGAGGAACTGGAGGATGAAGCCTTAGTGTTTCTTTGATGACTTGTTGTAAGTATTTCATTTCATTCATATGAATCATTTCTATTTTTGACCTTCCTTTTACTGATTTTCTCACCTCCTCTTGAGCCTTACGCATGGCCTCTGGATGTCTTACGAGCTCTGTCATCGCCCATTCTATTGAGGAAGCTGTAGTGTCTGTTCCTGCAACAAATAGACCCTGCAAAAACGAGAAAAAATTAGATGTTTTGTTAGCTCATGACTTTGCTTAAATAATCACTCGAAAAAAGTTTCCAGCTTGAACAAGCTGATGGAATAATACACCAACAACTCTATTTCCTGAACTGCACAGTGGTTGGACCAAAAAACTTACCAAAATGACAGCTTTGATATTGTCCACTGTAAGATGAATCTCCAGTTGTCCTGTTTCTCTAAGCCTCAGAAGAACATCAACCAGATCATCCTCCATGTCATCTCCACCAGCCTTCTTCTCAAGGTGTTCCTCAATTATGTCATTCAATATAGAATCCAATTCCCGGTGTACTCTTTTCATTTTAAAGTTCAGACTAAGGAACATCCTAAGAAAACCCAACGAAGGAAATAAATCCATCAAGCTGAAATATGAGGCCAACTCCAATCCTTTCCTCATGGCCGACAGAAACTTCTGTTGGTGAACACACTCCTTCCCAAAAGCAGCCTTTGTAATTGCAGTGCTTGTTAAAATAAGCAACATCTTGGTTAAATTAACTGGAGTTCCATGTGGAGTTAACAGGATCTTCTGTAACAAACTGTTACCCTCTTCCTCTCTTAACGAATGAAAAGACTTCACTCTTTTGAAACTTAAAAGCTCTAAAGTACAGATCTTTCTCAGCTCCCTCCAGTAAGTTCCATAAGGGGCAAAGCCTATATCACTGGAGTTGTAAAGCAAGGCCTCACTGGCAGCTATTGGAGGTCTAGAAGCAAAGTTGAGATCTTGAGTCTTCATAACCTGGCAGGCAAGCTCTGGGCTGGAAATAACCAGAGAGTTAATCTCACCAAGCTTGATATGGAGAAGAGAGCCATACAGCTTAGACATGCTGTTAAGCTTGTGGTGGAGGTTTACACCTAGAAGGTGATGAATGCTTCCAATGATAGGGAGTTTTGGTGGCCCTGGAGGAAAGTTTTTGTCTCCATGGATTAGGATGCTTTTATGGCTTCTTAGGGATCGGAAGAGGAGGAGGATGGGGAAGAGGAAAAGTGAGAGCAGCATGATTTATGAGTGAAAGTTTATGTGTCATTTCTTAGCATGGCTGCAAATATATATGCATTAGTTGCATGATGTAGGAGAGAAGTTTAGGCAAAATTCTATTGATGGTTCCAGCAGAAGTCATAGATAAAAGGACAAATTCTGAGTTTACTCTTTCTAGCTTCACTTGATATTCCTTTTAAATTATTAGAATATTTAACAAAGAATTTGATTTCATCATCATTATTATTTTGGGCTGTTCACATGCACAGCGCCTGCTGTATATAAATTTAGCAAGTTCTTTCATCCATTTTTTAAATTCTCGCTCAAATATCAAGATTCATGATAAACCCTGGTTCATATTTTTCATTTTGATCAAATTCTCAATGATTTGATTGCGACACAGGTTAAGTACATCAACTTTGTAGTTCATAAATATTGTCTGGGTGTTAGATTTTATAAATGTAATATTTCGGGTGCATGTAATTATCCCTATTATGTCGAGTATGTGTCATTGTTATAAATATTATGTCTTATCATCCATAAATGAATATTGTAGAATTTTTTAATTTAATTTTTATGTTTTCATTGGCTATACTATTTTTTAAGAGAATTTATCTGTTGAAATTTCATTGAAATTATCGTGGAAGAGAGAAAATTTGCGTATGGAGACCGTATGCACAGCGCATATGGTATCCAATCACAGTCATCCGTTTTTAAATTTTTTTTTTTAAGAAAAAAATTAATAAAAGCGGGACCCAATGTCATACGAAAAAATATTACATCAGTACTACACACGTAGTGGTAACGTGCGTAGCCAATGAAATCACGCCATAACACCCCACGCGACAGAGAAAAAAAAACGGCGCAGTAACACGGGGAATATTCCCTCTCATGTTATTGATGTGTTATTCATGTGTTATTGCGTGTTATTGATGTGTTATTGTGTTATTATAACACCAAGAATATTCTCAGGACAAAATAACACATGAATAACACACAATAACACCTAAATAACACGAGAAATATTCCCGACAGAGAAAAAAACGGCGCAGTAACACGGGAGAATATTCTTCCCCGTGTTATTCATGTGTTATTGTGTGTTATTCATGTGTTATTCATGTGTTATTGATGTGTTATTGTGTTATTATAACACCAAGAATATTCTCAGGACAAAATAACACATGAATAACACACAATAACACATGAATAACACGGGGAAGAATATTCTCCCGTGTTACTGCGCCGTTTTTTTCTCTGTCGGGAATATTTCTCGTGTTATTTAGGTGTTATTGTGTGTTATTCATGTTCATACAGGCTTTGTTTGGATGAGTTTTGATGTGCGGCTATGATCAGAGAGTCACCATATGTAATTTTTTTTTTTTTTTGAAAAGTAGAGAGATTTCTATTGCCAAATCTCCCCTTGATAAAGCTTTTTATCTCCATTCAGATTCGCTGAGCACCATTGAATCAGATTTTCTTCATTCAGCTGAGCTGAACTCCATTTCTCCTCGTGATTTCCTCCTAAAAAATTTGGAATCAAGTGACTTGATTGTAATTGAAATGTCATTTTTTGATGCAGATGCTGAAATTGTCTTCCAAACTTTACACATGGAACTATTCTGTGAGAAGTCGACTATATTAGGCAGCAGAAATGCCCAGTCCTTGTCCAACTTTATAATAAGGCTGTAAAATAAGTCAAGTATTTAACAAAATATTTATGATTAGACTCAATGAAAGCTCATTCATCTTATTTTTTGATTAATTGATTGAATAAATTTAAATATTTTTATAATTAATCAAAGAAAAACATTCATACATATTTGAATAAATGATTGGATAAATTTGAACATTTATGTAAATATCTAGTTGTTGAATGAACAAATTCAAATAATGGCTATATATATATAATTATTTAGAACTAGTAAATAAGCTCATTAGTAAATTGAATTAAAGTTTGCTCATAATCATTTAAGCTTTATACTATTTTGTGCTTTTAGTGAGACATCATTGAAATGTTTGAAATAGTAATGTTGATAAGATTTAAAGGTTATGTTTCAATTATTGAGTTTGTAACTCATGGGGCTTTGCAAGAGATCATTGAAAATCATGTTTTAAGGAAAATAAATAAATTTTTAAGAGGTTTAAAGCTTATGAGATTTAAAAAAATTATTTTTTTGAACTAATAAAATGGGCATGTCATTGTCTGATAGGCTCGGCCTAATAAAAAACACGAATTCAAAAATCTTAGAGTTAAACTCGAGCCCAATTGAACATGTTTTTGATGAATGAGTTCGAAATTGGCTGCGAGTTGATTTTGTTTGATTAATATTTAGAAACCCTTGCTAATTGGCCAATGGTTTTAACTTGTAAGATAAAATTTTATATCTATTGAACTCATATTTGTGAAAAAAAAAATCTCATGAAAATCATTATTGGAAGTAAAAATTGAAACTAAAAACTTACAACACAATTTGGACCCTCTTCCACAACAACCAACTCCTCTATCATAAAATAAACCTCTCAAAATAGATAAGAAAGTATAAAGTAGATATGAAACACCCTTAGCCCCTCACCCCCTAAGAGAGTAAGAGAATCCTAAGGAAAATCCTCTCTTTTTGCTCTTCAACCATCTCCGGGTCTCTCCCCTCTCCAAAGATACCCTACAGAACTTTTGTATAACTTAATCTATGAAATTGGTAAGAAATCTCTTGCTAAAATAATTTCCCGCTTTTTTGGTGTGGTCGCGCCGAAAAGTGATGTAGTTATGCCAACCTTCAAAATCGGGCAGCGTGGTCACGCCCGATCACGGTGTGGTCACGTCGCCTCTTTGAACTTCAGGTGTGGTCACGCCAAATTGTGGTATGGTCATGCCCCGGTGTGGTCACGTCGCCTCTTTTTCTCATTCCAAAATGTATGTTTTCAATCTTTGTAACCTACACAACATCAGCAACAACCTTACCCAAGTGTAATTATGTGATAAATCAGTAAAATAGCAGAAAAATGTAGGGTACAATGCAGGTAAAATTACGTAAAATTGACACATGTCAGTAACTTGACATTTTAGTTACTGAAGCTCTTTGATGTTGTGAGGCAATAACATGTTCACGAACACTTAAACCTTCTCAAGTTTAGCTTTGATCCCTTCAAATGCTAGCATATACCTTAAGAACTCACATGTTCTAGCCCTAAACATGCACTTAAGTTGCTTCACTTTTATATTATATTTTTTAGTGCTTCAAAAACTACTCCCAAGTCTTTTTTGTGTTGTTCAGGCATTTTATTCTTTACCAACATTCATCTATATGTACTTCAGTATTCTTTTTTTCTTATGCTTAGTTGGTAAATAATAAATCTATGTTCTTGAGGCATTCATGTTCTTGTTTTTAAAAGACTTTATATTATAACAAAGCACACCACTATGGTGATGAACTAGTCTTCTTAGCATCTATAAAATACATTTTTATTTGGATATGCCTAAAAAATCATCCAGAAAGCTCATGATAGAGGGACCAAAAACTGAACCCACGAGCACATTGATATGCGGTAGGGGATAGTTGTCATTTGGACACACCAAGTGGAGGCTAGTGAATTCAACACACATTTATGATTTCTTATTTGATTTTGGGGCGATCACTATGTTTGCCACCCATTTCGGGTACTACAATTCTTTGATGTACCTTGCCTCTAGTTGCTTATGCATTTCTTCCTGAATTACTTTTGCTAATGTGAGTGCCACTAATCTTGAAGTTTTGGATTGATATTAAGACATTGATAAGTAAGAGTGGAGCGATTTAGAATTTCCTTATCTGACCAAGTCAACACATTGCAATATTCTCTGTGGTGATGAGTTCGTCCCCATGACCTACATCAAAAGTTTTACTTAGCCAAACAAATGTATCATCTTCTCCATTTGGGATATCTTTGACCAACTATGACCTATATGACTAACTACTATTATAATTTCCAACTATGACCTTTATGACCAACTGATGCTACTGCAACGACGAGCTACAACCTCTTATGTTGGAGCCCGGTTTAAACAAATAATAATAAAAAAAATCAATTTATTTGTTGTCTAACAGTTTACGCCTCCCATTCTTTGGAAGAGGCGTGACTTTTGCTTTGGTTGGCCCACCACCCTAAATGCAAGCAAAAGAGAAGAATTAAGAAAATATTTTCTGCGATTAAACACCTTTTGAAACCGAACTCCGAGGCTGCTTCAAGAATTCAGTTCATGTGTAAGGTTTACGGGAAAAGGCTACAACTGACGGCTTAGGCTTCTTGCGACAGCGAGAGGAGGCATCCTTTTTCGACGGTTCTGCTCACGTGAAGAAGAGAGGAAGGCTTACGGAGAGAATATCATATCTCCTTTTCTAGCTTGGTGTGAGGCTTAGGAGAAGAGGACAAAAGCGGAGAGAATAAAAAGGGTTTTTTATTCTTATTTCATTCTTCTTCTTTACGACAGCGGAGGAAGCTCGAGGCTGATAAAACTGGCAGCGTCAAGAAAAAAACAATGGTGAAAGAATACGTCGACTTTGTAATTCCTTGAAGTTGAGATAAGTGTTTCTTTTAAATTGAAACATTTTGGTGTAAGTTCCTCAATTAGTAAAATCCTCTACAACTCTGTGGATGTAGGCAATTTGTCGAACCACGTAAATTTGTGTTCTTTTCTGGTGTGAATTTTCTTGTTCCATTTTTCACTTCTTCGTCGATCATTCTATTTTATTTCAATATACCACAACAACTGATATCAGAGCCAATGGCTGCAAAAGAAGTAAAGGTTTCAGGGATCGAGAAATTTGATGGCACAGATTTTGGTTATTGGAGGATGCAGATAGAGGACTACCTCTATGGGAAGAAACTTTATCTTCCGTTATTGGGGAAAATACCTGAAAGAATGAATGAAGCTGAATGAAATCTGTTGGATCGACATGTTATGGAGGTTTTTCGATTGATCCTATCGGGTTCGTTGCACATAACGTCGTCAAGGAGAGGACAACTGCAGATCTTATAGCAGCCCTGTCAGGTATATATGAAAAGTCATCGGCGAATAACAAGGTATATCTGATGAAGAAGTTATTCAATTTGAAGATGGTCGAAGGTACGTCTGTTGTACAACACCTGAATGGTTTCAATATAATCACAAATCAATTATCGTCCGTGAAAATTAAATTTGATGATGAGATACGTGCACTGATCTTGTTGGCTTCATTGTCAAATAGCTGGGAAGCTATGAGAATGACTGTCAGTAATGTTGACTGTCAGTAATTTTGCAGGTAAATCAAAATTGAAATATGAAGATATTTATTATTTGATTTTGGTTGAGGGGGTGCGCAGGAAATATTCTGGCGATATCTCAGGTTTGAGTTTAGGATTAAACGTTGATTCCAGGGGGAGATCACATGATAGGAACTCAAATAGAGGAAGATCAAAATCAAAGAACAGAAGCGGGAGTAAGTCAAGGCCTGGTAAACAAGTAACTTGTTGGAATTGTGACAAAACTAGTCACATAAAGAGGAACTGCAGAAATCCCAAGAAGGTGGAGAATGATAGTGCAGATGTGGTAACTGAAGAATCACAGGATACACTACTGTTGGCAGTTCATAGTTCTGTTGATGGCTGGATATTGTATTCAGTTGCTTCTTTCCGTATAACTTTTCATCGGGAATTGATGCAAAATTATGTTGCAGGTGACTTTGGGAAAGTATATCTGGCAGATGGAGAAGCTCTGAAAGTGGTAGGAATGGAAGATATTAACATTGCACTTCCAAACAAGAACAAGTGGACTCTGCAAAAGTTCAGACACATTCCTGAACTGAAGAAGAACCTCATTTCTGTTAGGCAGCTTGATGAGTGTGGACATTCAGTAGTGTTCTCAGATAGCACCTGGAAGGTTACTAAAGGAGCACTGGTACTGACTCGAGGTAAGAAAACATGTATGTTATATATGACTACTGGTTTAATTAACAGTGTTGATACTACTGTTGCAGACAACACAACAGAGTTGTGGCATTACAGACTTGTCGTAGACGGCCACATGAGTCAAAGAGGTATGAAGGAACTTCAGTCCAGAGGCAAGCTACCAGAAATGAAGTCAATTTATTTCAGCATGTGTGAGAGTTGCATTATGGGGAAGCAGAGAAATGTCAATTTCTTGAAAGGTGGCAGGACGCTAAAGACAGGAAAACTGGATCTTGTACACACAGATGTGTGGAGACCTTCTTCAGTAGCATCTCGTAGAGGCACTCGTTACTAAGTCACGTTTATTGATGATCATAGCATAAAGATATGGATTTATTTCTTGAAGTATAAATCTGATGTATTTAGTGTGTTCAATACTTGGAAGGCCATGATTGAGACAGAGACATGCTTAAAGCTGAAATGTCTGAGGTCTGGTAATGGAAATGTCTGGAAATGTCTGAGGTCTGGTAATGATGGTGAGTACATTGATGGTGGATTCAATGAGTATTGTGCAGCTCAGGGAATAAGAATGGAGAAGACCATTCCAGGGACACCACAACAAAATGGTGTTGCAGAACACATGAACGGGACCATTAATGAGTGGACAAGAAGCATGAGATTGCACGTCGGACTACCACCTACTTTATGGACAGAAGCAGTTAGTACTGCAGTTTATTTGATCAACAAAGGGTCATCTGTTCCATTAAACTGTGAATTACCTGAAGAAGTCTAGAGTGGGAAAGAGGTTAATTTTTCTCACCTTAAGACTTTTGGTTGTCTTTCTTATATTATCATTAATCCTGATGCTCGAAGTAAGCTTGAGGCTAAATCAAGGAAGTGTTATTTTATTGGCTATAGAGATGAGGCATTTGGATATCGTTTCTGGGATGATCAAGGTCGAAAGATCATAAGGATCAAGAACGTGATTTTCAATGAGAAGGTTATGTACAAGGACAAGTTCAGTATATCAGTATAGTTTCTGAAACATCTGAAACAACACTGAAGGAATATGAGTTGGTAAGATTTGATCATTTACCAGAGGTCTCAGTGCATGGCAGAGATGCTGGTGATGAGGTGAGTGGATCTGAAGCATCCACTCTTATTGTTCCACAGTCAGTTTCAGAGCAGTCTACCCCTATAGTTGCAGTTCGTAGTTGTCTACCCCTATAGTTGCAGTTCGCGGGTCAGAAAGGGCTAGACGTTCTCCACAACGTTATTCTCCAACTTTGAACTATATTATGCTTACAGATGGTGGAGAACCTCAGAGTTATCAAAAAACCTTGCAAGATGAAAATTCGAACGAGTGGGAGCTAGCCATGAAGGAGGAGATGGATTCTTTGCTAGAAAATCATACTTGGGAGTTAACAGAACTTACATCTGAGAAGAAGGCATTACACAACAAGTGGGTGTATCGGATGAAGACTGAGCATGATGGCAGTAAGAGGTACAAGACTAGACTTGTTGTAAAGGGTTTTCAGCAGAAGCACGATATTTATTATTCGGAGATTTTCTCTCCTGTGGTGAGGCTTACAACCATCAGAATTGTATTGTCTATGATGACTACTGAAGATCTCTTCCTTGAGCAGTTAGATGTGAAGACAGTCTCTTCATGGGGATCTTGAAGAAGAAATCTACATGGACCAACCTGAAGGGTTCGTGGTACAGGGAAAGGAAGAGTCAGTTTGCAGATTGAAGAAGAGCTTGTATGACCTGAAATAAGCTCCTAGACAAGATACAAGAAATTTGATAATTTCATGCACAGTACAGGATACAGCAGATGTCAGGCAGCTCACTGCTGCTATGTCAAGTATTTTGAAAATTTCTATATCATCCTACTGCTGTATGTAGATGATATGCTTATTGCAGGTGCTAGTATTTAGGAGATCAATAATCTGAAGGAACAGATGTCAGAACACTTTGCAATGAAGGATTTGGGAGTGGCAAAGCAAATTCTTGGTATGAGAATTGTCAGAGACAGAGTCAGAGGCATGTTGAGACTCTCTCAGGCTGAGTATGTGAAAAAGGTACTTAGCAGGTTCAACATGGATAAGGTCAAACCAGTTGGCACACCATTGGGAAATCACTTTAGACTTAGCAAGAATCAGTGACCCAAGTCAGAGGAGGAACGAGATCACATCAGTAAGGTTCCTTATGCTTCAGCTATTGGTTCACTTTTGTATGTTATGGTTTTGTATGTTATGGTTTGCACCTTATGGTTTGCACCAGACCGAATATTTCCCACACAGTGAAAGTTGTTAGCAGATACATGAGTAATCCTGGAAAGGAACATTGGGAAACAGTGAAGTGAATCTTAAGATACCTAAGAGGCTCTTCAGAAACTTGCTTATGTTTCTCAGGAAAGAGTCAAAGTCACGACGCTATGTTGATGTTTTTTTAGTTGGAGACATTGATACTAGAAGTACTATATGCTATATTTACACTATTAGTGGCACAGCAGTGTCATGGGGCTCTAAACTGCAGAAGACAGTTTCGTTGTCTACTACAAAAGCTGAGGAAATAGCAGTATCAGAGGCTACAAAAGAGATGATATGGCTACAGGGCTTCCTGGAAGAATTGGGCAAGAAGAATCAGAAGGGCATTCTCTAAAGTGATAGTCAGAGCACCATATTCCTTGCCAGGAATCCATTATTTCAGTCCAGGACTAAGCACATTCAGATCAGACATCACCTCATGCGGTCAATGTTGGATCACAGATAGTTGTTGCTTGAGAAAATTGTGGAAGCCAAAACACTGTTGATATGTTGACAGAGGGTGTTGCTCTAGAGAAACTGATGTTGTGCACAACTTCAGTTGGTCTTATAGCTTGAAGACAGGGGTCTTAAGTTGCAGAGGTGGAAGATTCATGTTTGAAGAAAAGGGTGATGCTGCCAGTGGAGGATATCAATTTGAGGAAGAAGACGTTGTAGTCTGTGTACCGGTCTCCAAGTGGGAGATTTGTTATGGTGGAGCCCGGTTTAAACAAATAATAAAGAAAAAAACAATTTACTTGCCGCCTAACTGTTCCAGCTTCCCATTCTTTGGAAGAGGCATGACTTTTGCTTTGGTTGGCCCCACCACCATAAATGCAAGCAAAAGAGAAGAATTAAAAAGATCTTTTATGCGATTGAACTCCTTTTGAAACCGAACTACAAGGCTGCTTCAAGAATTCGGTTCCTGTGTAAGGCTTACGGAAAAAGGCTACAGCAGACGACTTAGGCTTCTTGCGACAGCGAGAGGGAGGCATCCTTTTTCGGCGATTTTGCTCACGTGAAGAAGAGAGGAAGGCTTACGGAGAGAATACCATATCTACTTTTCTTGCTTGGTGTGAGGCTTAGGAGAAGAAGATAAAAGCGGAGAGCATAAAAAAGTTTTTTTATTCTTATTTCATTCTTCTTCTTTACGACAACGGAGGAAGCCCGAGGCGGATAAAACTGACAGCGTCAAGAAAGAAACAACGGTGAAGGAATACATTGATTTTGTAATTCCTTAAAGTTGAGATAAGTGTTTCTTGTAAATTGAAACATTCTGGTGTAAATTCCTCAATTAGTAAAATCATCTGCAACTCTGTGCATGCAAGCAATTTGTCAAATCACGTAAATCTGTGTGTTCTTTTTTTGTGTGAATTTTTTTGTTCTATTTTTCACTTCGTCATCGATCGTTTTATTTAATTTCAATATACCACAACGCAACCTATGTGCCAACTATGAGCTATGTGACTAACAGCTACTACATCTTTCAACTACGACCTATATAGCAAACTGATATTGTAGTTTCTAACTATAACCTATATGGTTGACTGACACTAGTGCAGCTATCAACTACGACCTGTGTGACCAACCAGAGCCTATGTGACCGGTTACTACTGCAACTTCCCACTACGTCCCCTGTGGCCAACTAACACTCTTGTAGATACTACCTATGGTTTATGTGGTTACTTCTACTACTTCCCGTTATGACCTCTGTAGCCAACTGACGCTTTTGCAGCTACCTGTTAAAGCTAATGTGAAAGTTATTACTGCAACTTCTCATTATGACCTTTATGACCTACTAACGTTTTTGCAGCTACCAACTATGACCTATTGCCAATTCTTGCTACAACTTTCAACTATGACCTTTGTGGTTGGCTAACACTATTATAACCACTACTTACGGCCTCTGTGGCCAACTGCAGCCATTACAACTTTTATGGTCAACTACTATCTTTCTAGCAAATAACTATGGCTTTTGTGGTTAACTATTGTTATTACAACTAAGAATTGCATTTGTTGTAGCTCAATTATGGTTATTATAACTAAACTATTATTGTACAAAAGTAATAATCAACATTGTAATTTCATCTTCTCCAATTCAGAAGAAGAGCATACCCATATACTTATAGTGATTTCATTTGACTGAATGGGGCCACGTGACTCCTGCAATTTTTCTATTATTTATGTGTTAAATCTTCGTACAACGCTAAAAAATTAAATAATACTCTAAATTCATGAATTTTCCGGCACATAACAATTAACTAAATTTCAAGACCTCAAATCTCTAAATTTTTGTGGAGTAATGCAACACTTTATCAATATTATGAAGTGTCAGAAGATTTATTATCCCATTTTAATATTAAAAAGTGTTAATTTTAAAAATTAATTAACCCATATAATTTTCTACTTAGTTTCTTATTCAATGACTCAATTGAGATATATTGAAAATTGTAAAATTACTTGCCATCTTATTTTAAATTAAGTTATAGTTATTTTTAACATAATCTTAAATTTAAAATTCTAGGACATTTGGATCCTCAATGTTTTGAGATATCTGACATTTCCACATGACAACACATACCAATCCATATCTTTAATCTTCAAATCTTTATATGCATAGCTCTAAGGGCAACTTGTTTGCATGAAAATACATTGACTCAAAAAATAAAATCCATTATTGTTTTAGTGTAGCTTTTGGGTCAAGGGATTAGATCTATTATGAGCAATTGCTTTTAAACAGTTTATAAAAACATTAGCTTGCTTCAGGTCCATCAATTTCAACATTAATTTAACATATATTCATCTCCATCATTTTATAATTTCAAACAGCATAAATTTATTTCTTTAACATATTATTTTCAATAAACATCACATCCATCTCAACCACAAGTAATATAAAAGAAAAAGGTAATATCTCCTCTTCTCCTTGACACTCAAAAAAACAATCAAAATATTGCATAAATGTCTTGTACCACAATCAGAAAAATGCAGGTTTAAATAGATGGTCCTAATTCTCTGCATGGGCTCCATAAAACCAGATGACAACAGAATTACATTAAATGTTTCATGGGATGTCAGACCATACAGCAAGCATTGAGAGAAATCTTGGATAAACAAACAGAATTAAAATTGTTTAAATAATGTCACAACAACAACAAAAAAGCCAATTTTGTTCAGGCACTTGGAAACCTACCTGTTGGATAATATGGTGATAATGAATACTTTGTTAAGGTTGATAAACTTCAGGAAGCCGTAGACCTACACTGGCTGCTGATTTGTTTAGTACCTTCTTCATTTCATCAGATCGATCCACAGCAATGTTGTAAGAGAAGAGTAAATCCTGGCAGAGGAAGACAGATGAATTTCAAATCAAATATTTACAGAACTAGAGACTGCAGAAACTCAAACCTTCTACTACTATAATTAGGCCTGTCAAAAAAAAAACTACCCGTTCGTGAACAACTCGTGCTCGGCTTGCTGGTTAAGAAGATCGGTCGAGTACAAAGAGTACGTGAATCAACTTAGTTTTCAATTCAAAATTGTGAATCAAAAACTTGAACTTCGGATTGAGTTGAACTCACCAGAAATTGACTCCATACAAGCCTTAAAATATTAGCTACCAAACAACTTCAAATTTAAAAAAAAAATTATTATTTCACAGCATCTTAACATTTAGAAAATAGTTGGATTGACTCTATCAAAAATTTTCATTTTTCTTGTACTTTTTATGATTGATGTATTACGTTTCTATAACTTGAAAATTAATAAATAATTTATATTTATGAGGGATATGACATTTAATTTTTAATTTACATGCATGTCGACTAACCTTATCTAAGTATCTTTTACGAACCGAACTGTCAAAGGGGGATATAATAAATATATCATATATATTCTATAAAAAAAAAGGGAGCAATAATATTAAATGCAAGGTCTTCAAATTTTCGATTTACTTGTAAGAAAATATATAGCCTCCAGAAGCATCAAAATGATCTTTCAACTTCTCTCATAAAAGTTCTCAAATGCCTGCCTTCACGTTCTATCGTAGCACACATGGCCCACTCACGTCCTTCTCCTCTTACCTATTAGCACCAACACAACATCCCCATCTCTCCAAAGTACAAGACTAGCAATCGCATGGTTGCTGAACTAATACAAAGCTAATAATCATATGCACTCGTAACCATATACTTTGTTCTTATCTCCATAATTTTAGACGTCATTGAAGCAGAAAAAAATTGCGTACGTCAATCGTACGCAAAGATGTGTACATAATATGGTACACGGACATTATACGGGGGTTACATGGGGGTTACAAGCGTGTTATAACTTCCTTGTAACTTTCATGTAACTCACCTGTAATCCGCGCTTTTATTTTATACATTGGGGTTACAAGATTACAGCGGGGTTACACGGGAGGTACAACGGGGTTATAGCCCCTTGTAATCCCCGTGTAACCCCCGTGTACCCTTTTACGTACGTAACTCCTGCATACGCTTGACATACGCAATTTTTTTCCCATTGAAGCTGGTCAGTGCCGGGACATAATTAAGCCAAGCCAGCTTGCAAACCGGCTCGAACTCAGAGTGTTAATAGCACATGGGTTGAGTTTATCGAGATGCAAGCTCGAGCTCAAGCTTGTCGAGTCAACTCAATTATAGATATTAATTTATTCATTAATCTTCCTCTCATATAATAAATAAAGTTTTATTATTCCATAAATTCTTGATGTAATTTTATCAGAACTTAGCTCAAATTCAAGCTTTCAAGCCGAGCTTGGCATAGCTGCCAAGAGCCAAGTTCAATTCAAGCTCGAGCCAACCATACATCTTACAAGTCGAACTCAAGTTTTGTGTGGTCAACTCGACTCATTTACACCCTAGTCGGTGCTAGCTCTGATGGCCATAATGAATATGGAATCTGCAACATCATCGCCTAACTTAGCTCTAGCAACTCAATGACTATTTAGCTCTGCTCTTTCTTATTATAAGGTGAAGCGGGGGCTAGAGACTGGACCGGTTGAGGGGCTAAGTGAAGTTTCCACCTAAGGGGAGGGTTTCCCCCTCCTAGTTATCTATTATTATTATTATTATTATTATTATATATATAT